GGAGTGTCAGAGACAGTGCGATTGGCACAGGACAGAGTGGAGTTTAAGGCTGTTGTACATAGGGTTGCTGTGAGTCACAGGCGACTCGACGGCACATAACAACAACAACAACATGTTTGTTTTTTACAGCATTTATATGCTTTCGAATTGCCTGTGACTCATTGAAATTAAGTTAACGAATCTTACCATGTCTTTCACTTTTCCTTGCCCTATCCTGCCCGGTCCTATCCTCACGTCCAGCATTCCCAAGCCCATTGTTACTGTGTTAGTCCATCTTGTTGGAGATAATCCTCTCTTTCTCTGACACTCCACCTTTCTCAGCATGATATCCTTTCGGCCTCTCTTGTTCCACAGTATGTCCAGAGAATAAGCACCCTCTTTGTACTTCTCTAAGACAGATTTGTTTGTTCTTTAGTACATCCATGGGATAGTCAGTAATTTTTTCCAATACCATAATAAAGATATTGAATCTTCTGTCAGTGGAAAAGTGCATGGTGTAAACCAGGTATGCCTTAGTCTTTAAGCTGACATTGTTGCTCTTTAGTATTTTGGCAACAGATTTTCCTTGGCATCACAATGCAGATGATCCTTTTATTTAGCTCTTTGGCAGCAGATTTTCCTTTCTATCATAATGCAGGATTTCCTTTTCTCCTTGACAGTAGATTTTCCTAGGATAAAATGTCTTTGGATTTCTTGATTTCTATTGTTATCGTGAGTGTTGACTGTGGGCCCCCAAGTAAAATGCTGTCATTGACAACTCTAGTCTTCATCTATCATGATGTTGCCTTTGGTTCAGTAGTGAGGAGTTTTTCATTCTTAATGTTGAAATGTAATCCATATTGAAAGTTGTAATCTTCGTTCTGCTTCACATGTTTCAACTCCTCAATTTCTACAAACAAGGTTGCGTCATCTGCATAACAAAGATTGTTGATGAGTCTTTCTCTGATCCTTTTCCACATTCTTCTTCATATATTGTTGTTATGTAGTGTTGTTGGAACTGACTCATAGTTGACCCTATAGCAAGTTTTCATAGGTAGTACATCACATAAGAGCCCATAGAAGAGAAAAAAAGAGTCCATCAGTATTTTGTCTACAAGAGACTCATCTAATAAATGAAGAAAAAGACTCAAAATGAAAGGCACCATGCTGGCATCCCCAAAAAAAGCCAGAGTGGTAATACTAATCTCTGATAAAATAGACTCCGGAATGAAAATCACCATAAAAGATAAAGAAGGGCACTGTATAATGATTAATGGTACAGTAGATCAAGAAGACTTAACATTGGTCAACATTTATGCACCAAATGATAGACCCGCTAAATACATAAAACAAGTGTTAAAAGAACTGAAGAAAGAAATAGCACCAGAAGAGTGGTAGGAGATTTTAACGTAGGAGATTTTAACACACCACTTTTGCCAAAGCAAAATTCTGATTTAAAAAAAAATTAATACTCATTTCATACTGTTTTAGGATTGTGTTATCAGGACATGTGTTCAAAGACTCTATGTTTCTTGACTGATTGTGAAACTATTTAATATGAATATTTTAAATTCCTACAGGTCTACTATATATTATTGAAACACAGAAAGTTCTTGATCTCAAAATTAATTTGAAGTCATCATATATTATTATTCCACAAGATGGAATTTTCAGTCCTACATCAAATCTACTTCTTTTGGATCTTGGTCATCTAAAGGTATATGCTTAAATGCTTTGTTGTTGTTGGGGTTTTTAAAAAATTTTATTATTTTTTTAATGTATCTACCATCAAATGGGACTGACTAGTACGGAGGAGATTGTCCCTCCTTCTCTAGCAGAGCATCTGATGGATTCGAACCACGCACCTCTAGGATTGCAGTGCAACTTCTTGAACTAGGCCACCATTGTTCCCTAAAGGTATATGCTTAAAAGCTTTTTTAAAAAATTTATTCTTTTTATGTGTGTACCGTCAAATTGGATCTGACTGGTACAGGAGGCGATTGTTCCTTCTTCTTCAGCAGAGCATCTGGTGTATTTGAACCGTGTAACTCTGGGATTGCAGTGCAGTTTCCTGCCACTAGGCCACCGGAGCTCGCCTAAAAGCTTTTTAACACAGTATTTCAGGATTTTTTTTATTATTATTTCAAAATGTCTTTTGCTCCTTAGGTTATTTTCTTTCTTAAATTGATATTTAGAGTTTTGGTAGAAACTAGAAGTTGAGAAATTTTCTTCCCTGATGAATCAGTTAGGTAGTTACCTGCATTTCTGAAGGCAGATTGACGTGTTGACATCTGTGGATCAGGGATGAATCTAAAAATGCCATTTATGGGTTTCCAGTGCCATGATTGAGGAACTTCTTTCTTTCCAGTTTATATCTTTTATGTGATGTATGTGAAGGGGATTTAAGAGTAATCAAATATATCTTCTTCCTCCCAAGATTTGATTCATATGTAACTATATATTTTTTAAGTTCATGTTCCTCTTCTCAATCATGAATTGAGATATGGTTTTTAAGTTTACTTAAGTCCTTTCCCTTTCCTTCCAATTATTTACTTATTTTGCTCTAGTTTTAAAACAAAATAATAATTATTTGTATCTTTTAGATACCTGATTTTTAAAATTCAAATTAATTTAAAAAATATTTTCCTTAGTTACACTGGTCACATTTTAGAACCTAATACACGGGCACAGCAGCTCCAAATAAACCTCACAAATCTTAAAATAACTCATTGTTATTACATTGAAAACGATGAACCCTCTAGCTGGTTTCTGAGACTATAAGTTGCACAGGAGGAGAGGGCCCATTTTTCTCCCATGGAGCTGTGGGTGGATTGCAATGGCCACAGAATCATGGCTTTCAGGTAGTGGTGGTAGTAGTAGTATTAGTAGTAGTAGTAGTAGTTCTCCATGGACTGTTGTAAAAGGAGAAGAGGCAACGTGGACAATAGGAACAGCATAGCAACAACCAAGTATGACCTCTCCGTCAACAACATCCACGGTATCAGACGAATAACTAGGTCAGACATGGCCTCTGGTTCTCTTGCATCCACTCTCAACAGTTCCAACACCAGTCTTATTAAGTGGGCTCCTAATTCGTTGCAATGACCACACAAACTTGACAGAACCATAACCAGAGTTGTGACGTTTATTACAGAATTAAACAGGTTATAATTTATAGTAAAAAAAGTTATTTCTAGATCCATCTTGAAGTACAACATCGTGAGTGACAGGATCATATCCATACGCTTACAAGGAAGTCCAGTAAATACC